TAATTCTCCTCTGAGACCATAATTAAAGGATTCCTTTCCACCTCCCTTTAGGTAACATTTCTTCCATGAAACTAACAGTGCTTGAAATTCCACTTCCCACAGAACTATGTGTTAGTAGAAAGAATTGTCAGACCCATATTTGAATACCATTTCTGCCACTTAATAGCTGTATGATGCTGAGCAGTTTACTTAACTTCCTGCATCAAAAAAGTGGGAAGTCCACGTACCTACTCACTAGGAATGTTGTAAAGAATAGAAATGCACAGGAAATCTTCACTTTAAAGAGTTCTAATATGCACAAATTCCAGGTACACAGTTTAGTTCAATAATTCCAATTCCCCAACAACACAATTCAAATTTCAGGTACCACAGTACATTAACCATGAGTGACTGAATATAGTGCAAACTTCACGACTAGGTGTTCAGTCCACAAATCACTATGTAAATAATAGAAGCACATCACAATCAGCGCTTAACTGACTTGAAAAGTCACTTCTTTCAAAGTCTGTTGCTGGATTTGACAAAATAAACTGCGAAGGAACAAAAATTAAGCTGATGGTAGACCTCTCATCAGCAACGATAAAAGCCAGGAGACAATGAATAACATATTTAAAGTGCTGAGAGAAAATTAACTCTCTGCCTAAATTTCTTTTTTTTTTTTTTTATTTTTTTTTTCAACGTTTATTTATTTTTGGGACAGAGAGAGACAGAGCATGAATGGGGGAGGGGCAGAGAGAGAGGGAGACACAGAATCGGAAACAGGCTCCAGGCTCTGAGCCATCAGCCCAGAGCCTGACGCGGGGCTCGAACTCACAGACCGCGAGATCGTGACCTGGCTGAAGTCGGACGCTTAACCGACTGCGCCACCCAGGCGCCCCTTCTTTTTTTTTTTAATTTTTTTTTCTTAATGTTTATTTGTTCTGGAGAGAGAGAGTGTGACCAGGGGAGGGACAGAGAGAGAGAGGGAGAGAGAGAGAGAATGAATATCTGAAACAGGCTCCAGGCTCCCAGCTGTCAGCACAGAGCCCGACACGGGGATCGAACTGAGGAGCCATGAGATCATGACCTGAGCCAAAGTCGGACACTTAACTACAGAGCCACCCAGGCACCCCAACTGCCTAAATATCTAACAATGGATAAGACATCAAAGCAAAAACTGTTGGTGATTATTCACTGCACATCTGTTAATCAGTTCATGTACAGACAGCAAGGCATGTAGCTGAGTTGCTTCCTTGTCTCTGGTGATGAATGTAGGTGATATTTTACAAAAATGAATAATCAAAAGAGGGAAATGGCCAATAATGATTAAAGTGTAGCAAAGAAACAAAAAGTGATAATGTTGGAAGTGAAATTCCAATCAAACATAAACGGAGTTATTGAAGAAACCGCTGACACTGACAATGTTGACTGCTGCCATTCCAGAGACTCTAGATATGCAGCCAGAGGAACTTAATGAAGACAAACTTACCAACATAAGTGAAGAAAGTGGTTGTGAGAAAAGGATGATGTTTTAAATTATAGTATACTAAACATTAGTTTTACTATGTTTTCATTTCTCTATATATCTATAACCAACAATAAGAGAGTTTATAGTGCTTGACAAAAAAATTTTAAAGGTGACAAAACAATCATAACTTTTCCCATTGATTATTAAGACTACTTTGCCAGGTTTTAACTTGCAAGGTCCTTTGTGCTGTCCTACACAACTATAAAGAGTGAGGACTGCCTGTACCTACAACTTCTGGCACATCAAGGAACACATTATTTCACAACTAAAGAGAAAACCTCTACCTTTACAATCTGCTCAAACAAAAAAGGAATTTGAAAAAAAAATGAAAAAAAAACAGACAAGGAATTTGAAATGATCTTGGGTGATGTTAAGAAGAAAGATTTTCTGGTATTTCAGTGACTAAGAACTGCTGCCATATCTGAACATGCAATTCCCCAAACTCTTCTTTTTATTACTCAAAATACACACAGCCTAGTGCTGAAAGACGGGGTTCATGAATAATTATTCAATTTGTCCGTTGTGACAGTATTCTATTTCACCTGTCCTTACTTCTTGCATGTAGGGACAAAACAGTGAGTGTGTGATAGTACAAGATATAGTAGCTTTATTTTTTTTTATCTCATTTAATCTTTATTTTTATTTATTTATTTTTTTAATATGAAATTTATTGTCAAATTGGTTCCCATACAACACCCAATGCTCATCCCAACAGGTGCCCTCCTCAATGCCCATCGCCCACCCTCCCCTCCCTCCCACCCCCCATCAACCCTCAGTTTGTTCTCAGTTTTTAAGAGTCTCTTATGCTTTTTTTTTTTTTCCTTCCCCTCCCCCATGGGTTTCTGTTAAGCTTCTCAGGATCCACATAAGAGTGAAAACATATGGTATCTGTCTTTCTCTGTATGACTTAGCTTTAGAATCAGACCTCAACTTAAACACCATCTCTACATCACTCTTTGCAACCTTAGGTAAAGATTGAAAGGGAGAAGAGGAAGTGCTTAGCAAAGTGTGGTACACAGTAAGCACTTACATATGGCTATTATCATCATTATCTTTACTATTCCTATCATTAATGTAAATATCATAATAATGATATAATTGTATTTATTTTAAACACATCATTATTAACCAGCATATTCTTCAAAGATTAAATTCTCTTACTCCAAAAAAATGATGGATACCCTCTGCTTCCTGGGTAAAAAGACTTGACCTCAACTTCCTCCAAATAATTTTCTCCCAAGGCACATGTGCAAAGGGCAGTCAACATTCACTTACTTTCTTCTTGCAACCCTTGATTCCTATGTCAAAACCCACCCTGCAGTCTTCTCAGTTTCCTCCTCTGAGGACATTAAGACCAAAACCATTTCCCATTTCTCACAGCTATCTGGCAGAACAGCTATCTTGCACCCTCATAGCTCACATGACTTAACTGTCAGTTTTCTCTTGATTCTAATCCCTGGTTCTAAACTAAAAGCCATTATTACTTATATCTACCCATAAATATGCAAAGGGCCTAAAGGTCAACTAAAGCCAACCCCTTTTCTTTACTAAATAATTTCTTATAAAACATTCATGTGAGTTAGTTCAGTAATGTCTGTTTCAACACTTCCAGTGACCTCCAACTCCAGGCAAGCCATTCCATGCTTATCTTCAGTTAAAAAGTTTCCTTAGGCTGAAGCAAAATCTCTCCCCTTACTGTTAGTTTCCATCCATATACTCTAATTCCACATTCTAGAGAAATTTAGAAAGTTTAACTGCTCTGTATGACAGCGCATCCAATGTTTGAAGACCATGGCAATGTCTTCATGTTGTTCTTCCATGTTACACGCTTCCAGTTCAGAAAGCATGATTTTAAGTCCCTTCCTCTCACGGACCTTCTCTGGACCAGGTATGGGCTTGCCAACATGATCTAACAACAAATTGGTAAAGCGCTTCCTTGCCAACATTTGGGCTGCCAAGTAATTATACTACAAGTGATCCCTCTGCCCATATTCTTCCATTATTATATAAAAATTATTACTTTAGTAGTTCAGGAAACGTGACTCTCAGCGCAAATCATGGTTTCAAAGGAATGGTTTAAAATCTTGAACACTAACAAGAGTTTGGGTTTCTTTTTTTATTGAGTCAACTACTGTGAAGAGAATCAAGTGGGATCAGCTGGCATGAAACTCTTGCCTCTTCCCTACAAAGCCAAACAAATGTCTGGGAAAAGGCGGTAGCAATGGGAAGGTTAGCTAAGAAGAATTGCTTCATGCCCTGAGAAAGTGGGTCCAATTAAAAGGCGGCAGTAATAGACAAAAAATATATATATATACATATATACATATATATACACACACACACACATATATATATATACACACACACACACATATATATACACACACACACATATATATATATATACACACACATATATATATATACACACACACATGTGTGTGTATATATATATTCTCTATACTTTGCCAGAAACAGGTAGGTACCGGAAGAAGGATCAAACATTGTGCTCTCAAAATTTAACCCACATAAAGTGCATAAAAGAAATGGCAGATTTTTCCTGTGCTCTCCTAACCTAGTGGAGTAAGAGCTGGGGAAATACACACACACGCGCACACACACGTACCTACCTACCTACCTACATACCTACCTACCTACCTACCTACCTAGTGGAGTAAGAGCTGGGGCAATGCACACGCACACACACCTACCTACCTACCTACCTAGGGGGCAATTGGTGCCTGTCAGGGGCAAGCAGTTGGAGAAGGATTTTTCCCCAAGTCCTCAGAAGGTGCAATCAGTGGAAGTAGTGTCCTCAAATGAACTCTAACCCTTAGGTAGTAGGAAAGGAAGCAGGCAGAGTGGCACAGGGACTTGGTCCCCTGTGCTCCTGTGAGCCCGACACCTTCCCTGGAGGTGACGAAGAGGTCCGAAGAAAACAGAGAAAGAGGAAGGAAAAGACCTGGGAGTTTCCACGTTTGGGGTGAGACTAAGTTAGGACCTGTTCCCTTCTCCTGTGCCCTTAAGGCCGAAGGTGGTGGCAGCAACAGTAGGAGCAGGTGTCCCAGGCCCTCATTCTAACGAGCAGAATCCTCCACTCTCCCCACCTCCTCTAGGGCCGCCCCAGCCTGCCCCACTGCTCCCGTCATAAAGGAATTCCCATCCCCAGTTCTGCCCCTCAGGCCTCCCCTCAGGTCCAGCGGGGGGCTCCCCACTTCTCTTCCGATCCCCAAACTCAACCCTCCCTAACCCGTTCGGACCCCGCACGCCTCACCCGACACACTGGATTCCCCCATCCGCTCCCCTCCTCGGCAGAGCTCCCATTCCTGCCCCCAGGCCGGGGCTCCCCACTCCACCTCCCCAGCCAGGCCTGGTGCCTCCCTGGCTAGGTCTGGGCGGCCAGGTCACTCTCCTCATACGCGGCGTCTCCTCGGACCGGCATACGCTCTTTCCTGCCTCTGGCCGACCTCAGGCCTGGGGCGCCCGCACTCACAGAACTCGGCGATGTACCAGGTCACCGCGTAGTTCTCCTCGCACCAGTCCAGCGTGGACGTCGTGGGGCCCCAGTAGCCCTCGCGGTCCGCGGCCGGAGCCATCGCGCACGCAGCCGCCGCCGCCGCCGCCGCCCAGGCGCTCCGCTGGCCGCGTTCGGCTCGGCAAGCTCCCAGGCCGGCTCGGGCCCTGCTCTCGCGCCCACCGAACGCTCCGCCCACCCTCTCTCCCTTAGGGGAGGGGCCGGCTCCGTCAGCGGCAGTGCCCGGCGGGAGATCCCGCCCACCGGCGCCTCCAGGCCGCCCCCGCCAGGCGGCGCCCCGCCCACCCCGAGGCCACAGGGGTTCCCCTGGTGGGGGGGGGGGTTCCTTTTCCCAGGAAAGGGCTGTGATCAGGTCACCGGGACGACGGTTACCCAGGCTGCCTGTCCCGCCCAGACACGCCCCTGGCTGTAGGCTTGGGGTTTCTGATATCCCTGAGGCTGTTTTCTGTCTGGACGTGTCAGAGACTCTATCTCTTTGTATGTGTTTGTCTGTGTGTGTGGTTTGATTAAACTAAGGCGGGTTGGGTTGAAGCCATCGGCAAGCCCTGGCTTGATAAAACCTGTGCAGAGGCACAGCGTCTTTCTCAGCGTCTTCCTTTGACCGCAGGCCTCAAACGGAACCCAGAAACAGAACTCTCCCAGCCCCGGGGACTCCTAGGAAATAAACAGTGCTTTTCTGATAAAGATATAAGTAAGTGTCTCTTGGGAACAAAGGGAAAGGGCAACAACCCTGGAGCAAAAAAAAAA